TTAAATCTAAAAATAAAAATATAAAATACAACACTATTCAAAACATCTAACTGACAGCTGAATACATAAATCAAGTTCATAGAACTGATAAAAATTTGATGAAATAATAAAATAACTAAGCCAAAATTCTATGCTTTTTAATCACGTCTCTAATTAAGAAACAAATTGACTTTTGGATCATAACAATCCATCACCAAGCCAACACCATTTTCAGTTTTCACCACGTTTTTGCATTATTTTACCCCAAATCAACAACATTTTCACCATTTACTCCATGTAATCATGTGTAGCATCATTAGTATAAATAAAAATAATTGATTCAAATATCATACATATAAAAATATCAAGAACATGCTTCTTTTACCATGATTAAAAGTTCAATGTACTTAGCTACAACTACTATTTGTGGGACGGAGGAGTAAAATTCATCAACAACAAAACACACTCAAAACCCCCCAAAAAATATTGTTATTTTCTATTACTAGTACATAACCTACAACAGATTACAATAAATCAACCTTACTATCAACAAAAATCACAATATCACAATATCAATATATCTAACCACAAATCAGGAGCCTAAATCGATTATTAAAAACATATAACAACTAGAAATCAGAAGTTTAGATTTCGGACATGAAGTTGTGGATCTGAAATTAGGTGATCGGTAGGAGGACGACCAACAGACTGAAGCAAGCGGCAGAGGGTGACGGCGAGACGCAAGAAGCACGATGGTTGACATGGCTGTTCAATTGCTATAGAAAGACACAATAGTGAAAGATCACTAGGAGGGTGTGATGAAGTGGAAGAAGTGAAGTGGCAAGCCATAAGCATGATGAACTGAAGATTAAGAGCCTCTAAAGATGAAATCTCTCATTCTTTCTTTGTCGTCCCCCAAAGGAAAATGAAAGAAAAAAACCTAAACATCATATTATATGTCTATGTGTATTTATATATTAAATCCTTATTATTTATTATATATGAAAATGAGGGCCTCGCGGAGTACGAGACAGAAATACCAACTCCCAGTCCCAATCCCAAAAATAAACGGGGTTTAATATTACCCCCACCCTGCTCCTGCTCCCGATTTTTTTTTTAAATTAGTCCCATATTGTATCAGGGTCCCATAGGAATGAGGTCCCACTGGAGTTTTTTACATTCCTAATGGGGTGCAATATCCTCAAAGGGGGACTCATATTTCTCGTCCGCGAGAAGGGAAGGTTGAAGTCCCTATCCCAATCTTCGAGTCGGGTCTCCGACAATCGACAACCGACTTTTTCGATGAGATCATGGATCAGTATGCCTTCTCTATTGACGATCTGACTCCTAACGTTGTCAAAAAAATAGTTGGTTTCAAGATGGCTTGTCTGTCGAGCTTTCGGCATGCTCCTTCAATTCAGGGCTTTCAAGTACTTCTTCAACTCCTCTACTCAATTTGGCATGCATACATTTTCTCAGAAGCAAGGAATCCATGTGTTCATCATAAAACAGAAGCCCCCAAGAAGAACTGGCAGGAAAAATGTTTATGGGTGAACCGCAACTTGGTCGGTTTTAGCTATCCTCGTAGAATCACTTTCACCGACCGGGCACCCTAACTCGGGGGGGGGGGGGGGGGCAACGAGACTGTGACATCCCCAATTTCACGGCCAGAAAATACCGATTTGTTTATGCTTTGTTTTATAAAATCAGAGTAAATCTTTTAAAGAAAACGGTTGCGGAATTTGTTCCCAAAACAAAATATGATAACCAATTATCAAAACATTTCTCAAAGAGAATGTATTTTGATTAAATAATAAAAACCTCGGGATGTCATGTTCCGATACAGACCAAAAGCATAAACAATATAAAATAGACCTTACAACAGTTATTTATAACTACTGATCTATAATCCAAAACCTCTCGTCAAGTCCACCAACTTATACTCCTATGCCATTACCTGTAATGCAAAGAAAACTGAGTGGGTCAGGTTTGGGGAGCCTGGTGAGCATATAGGGTTTTCAACCCACAATAAATAATTAAATTAATTTCATCAACCAATTATAACCCAATTACCCATTCCTGTTATTCTCACTTTACGTCCTTAAGACAACTAACACAAGGGACCTAGTGTAAGAATATTTCATCGAGGCGACAACACATGCTTCGGGGTTTCCTCAACAATATAAGTCAAATAAGGCAACCATGAGGGGGATGGAATACAGCGAATGAACACCCAAGTTCGTGAACACCTATAGGTTATGAGCCTGCTAGCGTTCCACTGGACTGCCTAGAAAAGTCTGTGGTCGTCATCTAAATTCTGCTAGATGACTGGATTACAATGACATCGAGGCCTCTCATCCTTTTATCACAAGACAACTATCTACCCATGTTCTACCCAACATTTTATTAGATAAAAATATACATTTTTAGACATAGTTTAACACCTGTATAGTACGTTCATTCAAAACACATTCCAGATAAAAGATGAGGCACATAAACAAAACACATATTTCATAGAGAATAAATCATATCTATGAGATTAGAAGATAACATCGATACACTCACATAACACATATACTTAGTACATTCAAACAATACTTGTATTAAAATCGTGTTTATGAAAGGGACTATACACTCACTTGATCAGAAGATGATCAGACAGAACTACAGCTCTTCAAGTAGATATTCTTCGTTGAAACCCGGATCACTTCACACAGCGGGTTTCTCGCGGGCAGAGCTTCGGCTCGAAAACTCTTTTCTTATTGGGATCTTCGGACATCAGGACTTGGTTCGGGTCTTTGGGTGATACCGGGGCTTCGGGGGGGTTAAAATTGCACGTAAAACGATGTAATATGGGAGAGGGATGAGAGAATGAGCAACCAAACTCGGCTGGCCCTTCAAACCTATTTATACGGAAAAACTGGCCCTTTCTACGTCGTGGCACCTTTTGCCACATCGTGGGATTGGTCGTCACTGCATACATCATCGCAAGTTGCATCTGGGGGACTCCCGGAGGTGTCAGGAGACTTGCCACATCGTGGCACCGCTTTCCATGTCCTGGTCTCTGACATAGCTTTGGGGTTCGCGCCCCGAACTTCAGAAATTTATAACTTTCGCATACGAACTCTGTTTTTGACGTTCTTTATATCGACGCGAAGGTGAGATTATGCTTTACAACTCTCGTTTAGACTCCATTGGCTAATTTTGAAATTATTTTTAATATATTATAAGTATATTACTTATATATTATCTTTAGTAGGCCGGGACAGGAAAACTCCGTTCGAAATTCATAACTCCTTCATCTGAACTCCGTTTTCATCTGTATTTTTATCGTTGGAATACTATCGAAGAAATCTCCGACTCTCATTTAAATCACTAAGGATAGATATTTATCTACCTTAAAATCACTATTTACGTTGTGCTAGGTCGCACTGGGTCATGTCGGTCTGTCACGAAACTTCGACAGGTCACAACTTCTTCGTTATAACTCGGATTTTGGCGTTCTTTATATGCACGGAAATCTTGTGAAATATACTAAAAATTGGTTAAGATTAGTCCTTCTAAATAATATTCCATCAAAAAGTCAATTTTGATGCTTATCGTCTCTAAATTGACTGGCCCGGATCTACAGGCGTTACAGAGACTATGGCATAAGTGCTTAGGACTTATTTCTTTCAATGGGGAGGATCTGGAGGACAACATGCTAGCCTCCATTGGTATGAGTGCCTCCTGGAGGGCACGTGGGATAATGCCCCAGTTATTCATGGAGAAGAATGGTGAGTGTGCATCCCTCCCCACCTTTTTATATGAAACTTTATGAGGTGGGGGTAGGTATTTTATGATCCTTATATATCTAATATTAATTGAGATTGTCCTACGGGGTAGGTTCCAAGGAAATTTTCATCATAGGGAAGTGCCCTTAGTGGATACACGTCCTCCACCGATCAGTGCCGATCATCCTCTAGTACTTGCTAGTCTTACCGGTGTTGTTGCGCAAGGGTCTAACCTAGAGGAAAACTAGGAGTTCATTGATGCCATTGTGGAGGGATTTCTCACAATGATCCTCCACATCCTGATCTAGTGGACAAATTGGCAAAGGTGGTTGCAACTGGAGGGGGATGGCTAACTACCAAGTGACGAATAGCTTGGTTGAACTCCCCACTTACTGAAGGTGCTTGCGGCAGGATGGTTGGTAGGCGTCTTCAGAAGAGACATAATGTGGACTTTCTTTTAAGGGATTCCTACATTGTAGTGGACATTACCGATGATGATGCTTCAAACCTGTAAGAGGGAATAAACAAGGAGGCCACTGAAGTGCCTCGTGAACCAAAGGAAGATCTAAGAGATGCTCCAAGCCCTGGTGAAAGCGCTACATGACAGGTGCCTGAGGTTAAGTTTCAAATTGCCTCTGATTTTGCTTCGCCTCTAGCGAAGGATAATATTTTTGCAAATTCCTCTTCTTCGCCCTTGTCGACCCTAAAGCTTACATCCTGAAGTGGGGGCTCACTCGAGAGTCCCTTCTTACACAACATCATGTTGCGTACGAGTGGGGCCATCATCATTTCTCAAGTTGCACCTTATTTGGTGGCCGCCGCATGGCGCCTTTTCCAGGTCAATTCAGATTCTTTGCTAGGGTCGAGCGGGATGACCTAAGGATGAGAGTGTTGGGGATAGAGGAGGAGATGTGTAAATTTGAAGAGCATTATAACCTTTTGGCTGATAAAAAGGCGTTTGTGCAGGAACGGGTTGCAAATTTGGATGGGTCAGTGGAGCATTTAGTAAACAAAGTGGAGACTCTGGTGGATGAAAAACGATTATTAGAAGAGCAAGTGAAGCAGCAGGCAGAAGAACTGGCTACCGAGTGTTCTAGGAGGAAAAATATAGATGGCGATATGGAGTGGCTACTATGGGAGGGGAGTCTTTGTGTGGTTTACTAAGTCATTGAGAATCCCGAGATCTCAATTAGGGTCCAGCGTAAGAAGGCAACATCTGTCACAACTGGTGTGGAGGGAGGTAGGCAGATGGTGAACAAATACGTGGCCTCCGGGAGATTTGATCTGCAAGAGCCAAGTGTCATGGCGGAATTGACTCAGGCCATGCATGCTTCTGTGAAGACTTTCATTAAAATGGTTTATGCCTCCCTCCTTCATTTGGTTGAGCTTGACTTGAAGGGCGTTTGCCAATTGTGTTGTCACCCTAACGTCGAGGACAACCCGCCTGAAGGTGACTTTCTCAAAGTTGGATCTTCCTCTATTACTCTTGGTAAGTGATTATCCCTTCTTCCTAGTTTGTTTATGTGAAACGATGTTCCTGACAGTATTTCTCCAAGAAATAGTTTTTATTTATTGTTTGGTCCAATGCGGCCCTTTCAAGTCAGGGGATTATCTAGCAGGACAAGATTTTTTTTGTCTTTTGATAATGTGGTCATTTATGTTTCTGCAAGGTGTTTTATGTTGGCTACTGGTGAATACGTTTCCTTAATTTTCCTTCTTCCCCCAACTTTGTCTTGGCCTTGGGGGGTCAACTCGAAATAGCTAGTTTTTTCTTCTCGGTGGACTGTTGTGTTGTTTGACGATCTAGTCGTGTTCCTAGATTCACCCAACCTATGAATTAAAGACTTATATTCTATTAGGTTCCTTTGGATATATATCGGGAGATCGCACTAGAAGCTTGGGATTTTTCCTTTCTTTGGGTCATACACCATTATTTCTAGACTGAGGCTTTCTGTCCAATTTTCTTTGTTAGGGTCTCCCTTTTTGGCTAACTTTTACAGATTATCTATTTTGGGATGTTGTTCTAAGTCCTAGGCCATGGGGTGTTGCACTCTAGCCCTAATAATCTAAGTGATGTCGACGTCGTCACCTCGAGGCATTTGGGACCTATGTATTATTTGTTTCAAGGGAAAGGTTATGAGCCTTTGATGCCTTGAATCATGTCAAGGTTATGATTTGTGGCCTTTTGGGTTGAATTGACAACAGCCTTTGATGCCTATCGTTACGTTCTCACAACGGTCTCACTCAAATGATGTGGATGATCAGTTCTTATTACCATTTGGTAAACGTACACAACCTATTTTGTAAATGTTATCAAGCTTGAATAGTAAAAAGCATTCTAATAGTTTTTTTTATAGCCAACTTCCTTCACTTCATTGATAATTTTTTTAGAAATAACTACGTTGCTTTGTAAGTAAAGCAGAGAGACAACTACATCATGGCATAAGCCAAGGACTAACTCTTTGGGTGACTTTCTACGGTGTGAAATCCATTCGGAGTTTGATCACATTGCCCTTGCATATGATGTTCCTTATTTGGGCCTTTTTTCTTGCTTAGGTGTGGCGGTGTGAACTGCATGCACTCCAAGTACAAGGGGTGAGTCCCCCATTTTGAACTTTTAGGATGCCTACTCCATTTTGGTGTGTATTTGTGGTCCTGCTTGCATGTTCTTTGTTGGCGCTTAGCTAGCTCTGGGGTAGTGCGTGGCTAGACCCGTTATTTTCAAGTTCTCGGTCTCGTGTTTCCCGTTAACCATGTTCATATTTGGATGTTTCTTTGCATTAATTTTTGATTGTTTCACCATAGTTTGGTGATCGCAACTGCCTATTCGTGATCCCCAGTGGTGATATTGCTTTTAATCCTTGTATCATATTGAAGGGTATTCCTTCGAAATTTGGCCTTACGGTTTGGCGATGGAACTAAGACATTGCTGGTGATTTTCAAGCCCAAGCTTTTTTCGACCTCGATGGATTCTTAGCTTTCACCCGCCTAATGAAATGATCACAGGGGACCAGAGGTAAATTGACTCTTCCTGGGGTGATGGGTATTAGCCCCATGGTGTCAATACCTTGTTGACCTAGTGACTGATGGTTGATGATCAGAGTGATGGCATGTTGGGTTTGAGGTGGAATTTGTGATGGGATTTAGCCATATGAACATTCTTATGTGCACATACAAACCCTAATGCTTGGATCTAGGTTTCTCTAATTGAACATGCATGAATCCAAGACTTATAATGGTTATTCTAGCATAATAACATTGAGAAATCAGAGTTATAAGTTTACCTTGAATCACTTGTTTGATCTTCTTGTTCTTGGAGCTTTAGAGTCACAATTGTCACTCCTCTAATGGCTTACAAACACCAACTAGCAAGAGAATGATTTGAGAGAGTGGGGAGGGACTTAGAAATCGGCCAGGGTTTCCTTACAGACAAGGGTGCCGATTTCCATGACCCCAAGGGTCTATTTATACTTGTAAGGCTCCTAGGGTTTTACCTTTAAACCATAATTGGATAACTTAAGCCTTAAGCAATCCTAATCCCTTCATGATAACCCTTCGACGAATTTAGGTCTATCCTAAGCCATAAAATCGTCCACTATATTATCGATAAGGAATTATAGCCTAAAGTATAACTATCACACACAGTTTAAGCCCTTCTATTTAGTTAATCTCTTTAAGTCACCAAATTAATTCCTAATTAATTTATGACTTATATTAATCAAATAATAATATTATTCCTTATAATATTTCAACTCTCATTGTAAATCATCCTATCAAGTTGCTATGGTGAAGGCAACCCAAAAGGACCATGCTCAATCGGGTCAAGTACTTACCAAATATAGTTGCAGCATTAGACACTATTCCAACAGTCTCCCACTTGGATAAGTATAGTAATTATATACACCGATTAGCAATCGTAGCTCTCAAAGACGCTATTAAACTCTGATCTAATCAATCTTGTCCTTTATATAAGGGATCGTATAGTCCTCTGTATAGATATCATGCAGACATTCTCATGGAAACAATTGTCTAGCATTTGGTTTCTCTATCTTAGATTTGTTTGACATAGAACTTAATCGAACACATCAATATACTTCTGACCGGGCCCGGCACATAAGTCAAATCAAATCATCGAGCGGCCGAGATATCGCTTTTATCTTCTTAGGATAAAAGTAATAGATAAACTTCGACTTATATGCATTTACTTATTCATCAACCAACTATACACAACAATGTGTTTTATAGCATCAAGTTACTGATGCGGTTTTGCATTATCAATATACAACCAATTAATGAATAACAAACCATATATCTAGGTTTTAAGACCATAAGATATTATCGTCTTGCGATCACCCTTTTTTTTCATATTCCATAAGGTGATTCCAGCAAGCACGGGTTTGTTCCAATGCTCAAAACCAGTTCATAAGCATTCATGAACGTTGTAGCAACCTTTTGCTATGTCTAATACCATTTATACAATCTACACACCAATTCATGACAACATATGAACGATTGTGGACATTTGAATAATTTGATTATTCTTAATAAACTCAATTATTCTGGAAGTCAAAACATGCAAAGTGAAACAATAGTTAAATGATTAACATAGTATAGTAACTTTACTTATAAATAATACTCTTTTATTTAATCATCAAATGTTAATTACATTTATCTATTATACGTTTCTAAAACTATCTAATCTATACTAATATCATCCTTCAGCCCAATGCTCCTAGCATGCTGCAAGTGCTTAGCCCTGCTCAGTCCCTTTGTAAGCGGATCTGTTGGGTTATCTTCTGATGATATCCTCTTCACCACGAGTTGTCGTTGTTCTACACGATGTCTTATAAAATGATATTTTATGTCGATATGTCAAGATCTACCATGATCCCTCGGTTCCTTGGTCAAGGCAACCACTCCTTCAGTATCACAGAAAATCTCCATGGGCTCCTTTATGGTAGGTATGACTCCAAGACCACCAATGAAGTTCTTTAACCATATTGCCTCTTTCGAAGCTTTGCTCGTTGCAATGTACTCTGATTCGCACATTGAATCAGCTACGGTTTCCTGTTTGGAACTTTTCCAAGTTACTGCTCCTCCATTCAGGGTAAAGACCCAGCCCGACTGCGAACAGTAGTTATCCTTGTCGGTCTGAAAGCTGGCGTCACTATACCCTCGCACCTTCAAGTCATCACTCCCTCCGAGGACTAAAAACCATTCATTGGTCCTCCGAAGGTACTTAAGGATATTCTTCACCGCAATCCAATGGGCTCTGCTAGAGTTGCCTTGGTATCTACTAACCATGCTCAAAGCAAAGGCTACATCACGGTGAGTACAAGTCATAGCATACATGATTGAGCCAACTGCGGAAGCGTATGGTACTCGGATCATTTCTGCCATCTCGGCTTCGATACTCGGACTTTGAGTCTTACTCAACTTGGCATTATATTGTCTCGGTAATTCTCCCTTCTTGGATTTTTCCATACTAAAACGTTTTAGTACCTTATCTAAGTAAGTGTTATGACTAAGACCTATTAGTCTCTTACTTCGTTCTCTCACTATCCTTATTCCCAGAATATAGGAAGCCTCTCCGAGGTCCTTTATAGCGAAGCACTTCCCGAGCCAGGACTTAATCTCCTGCAGTGTCGGGATGTCGTTTCCTATGAGCAATATGTCAATGACATACAAAACGAGAAAGCTAACTATACTCCCACTGGCTTTGACATATACACAAGATTCATCTTCACTTCGTACAAATCCAAACTCTTTGACTTTCTCATCGAAGCAAAGATTCCATCTGCGATACGCTTGCTTAAGTCCATAAATGGACTTCTCAAGCTTACACACTCTATTTGGATGCTTCGGATCGAAAAAACCCTCTGGCTGAGCCATGTAAACATCCTCAGCCAACTTCCCATTAAGGAAAGCGGTTTTGACATCCATTTGCCAAATTTCATCATAGTCAAGTCCGGGAGTTTGAGTAAAACCCTTCGCAACCAATCGCACCTTATATGTGTGTACGTTTCCATCCATGTCGGTCTTCTTCTTGAAGATCTATTTGCACCCAACGGTCTTACGTCCGGGCACATAATCAACCAAATTCCAAACTTGGTTGTCATATATGGATTGGATCTAGCTGTCCATTGCCTCTTTCCACTTTGCAGACTCCGGGCCTACCATGGCTTCCTTATAGCTATTAGGTTCATCTAGATTTATTAGTGTACTATCACTAATATACGTGTCCCCTTCGGTAGTAATATGAAAACCATATAACTGGGGTTAAACTCTAACTCTTTCGGAACGTCTAATAGGTAAGGACTCGTCAATTGGTTCAACCAGAGTTTCCTCCTCGGGTTGAGTGCCAGCGATAGAGGTTCCTTCATCTATCGACTCTTGAATCTCTTCAAGCTCGATTCGCCTCCCACTGTCTCCTTGGCTTGTGAGTTCTTGCTCTCAGAAAACTTCTCTCCTCGCAACAAAGATAACATTGTCCTTCGGTCTATAGAAGAGATTTCCAAAGGATTTCTGTAGGTAGCCGATGAAAATACATCGCTCACTACGAGGTTTGAGTTTTTCGTGAATATCTCGTCTTACGAAATCCTCGCAACCACAAACCTTGATATGTGCTAACGAGGGAGCTTTCCCTGTCCACATCTCGTGTGGTGTTTTGGTAACCTTCTTAGTAGGGACTCGGTTAAGGATATGGGCGGTAGTCTCTAAGGCATACCCCCAGAATGAGATAGATAGGGAAACACGACTCATCATAGAGCGAACCATGTTCAAAAAGGTTCGATTACGCCTTTCTGCCACACCATTCAATTGTGTTGTCCTAGGTGGCGTCAATTGTGAAAATATTCCACACTCCTTGAGGTAATCATGGAATTCAAGACTTAGCTACTCTCCTCCTCGATCGGATCGAAGCATCTTGATTTTCCTGCCAATTAATTCTCCACTTCATTCTTGAACTCTTTGAACTTTTCAAATGTTTTTGACTTTTGCTTGATTAAGTAGATATACCCATATCTACTATAGTTAACGGTAAAAGTCACATAGAAGTGGTTCCCATCCTTTGTGGTTGATCTAAACGGTCCACATACATCAGTATGTATTAGGTCCAATAAACCTTCCTTTGTGGTTCCCATCCTTTGTGGTTGAT